AATAATTGTTTTATAATTAAGCCTCAGCCCTCTGAATCAGAAACTAATCAAAATGTGAAGTGATTAAAGAATCCCACCCCATTAAATGTCCTATTGCTAATCTTATTATTTTTTTAATAATAAAAACAAAAATACAAGGACTAATCCAGGATTTTCTCTTTTCTTACAAAGGGTTGCGCTCCCTTCTGTTACCATCCACGATGCAGCCCAAACAACATGAAAAGGCTGCTCTGTTCWCACCAGGAGTCAGCGCAGTATAAATGCCCAGTAGTGTCCAACTGTGGCATTGGCACATGAAGCTGAGGCGGCAGGGCTGGAGGTCACAGTGAGAGCTGGCACAAGTCGGCAGCCCAGGCGCCTTGACGCCATGTCTCACACCATCGCTGGGAAAGTGCTGACAGACGGACAGCAGGGATGTGAGGGCGTAGGTGGAGAAACAGAGGCAGAGAGGAGACAGACAAACGGGCTGCAAGTGCTGTGTAACATCTGGTTTGCTCCCTTCATCTGTTCAGGACAACAACATGAACGCGCAGGCAGCTCCAACCTGCGCAGGTGGCCCAGAGCAACAATCAAACACTGCCAGGCATAATGCAATATTCACAAGTAGAGCGCAGCGAGGCAAAGACGTGAGCATCTTGTCTGCAACACAAATACAAACAAACCTAACAAAAATATATCCAAGTCTCGCTATTTAWTAAATTAAAATGTTTTTTATGGTATAATACATCTAAAGCAGGAATATAGATTTGATTCTTTTTTTTCCAGAGATTTTGTCCAAATTGTGCATACATATGCTTCTCACAGAATCAAAAGGCAAATTAGTGATCCCTGCAAGAAGAGTTGGTAATGAATAAATACAGAAATAGATAAATAAATAAGAGTAGCCTAGCTTGACTTTTTCTTGCCGTTTCACCGTTGTACAGACTGACATGAGGTCGATAAAGCAGGCAAGAGAAGAAAGGAAAGTAAATTTGAATCAGAAAATACATTGAGGTCTGACTTAGCTTCATTTGTTGTTAATTYTTTTCATTTGGATTGATGAAGTTTAAGTCTTCAGAAAAATCAACCCGGAGACAAACACAAAAAAACAGATAACTTCTATATTTCATGTTAAATTACATTATGTTTAATGAAAAGAGTTCTCAAGAGTTAGAAATGATGAATTTGATGCTTCCATATACATCAAAGATTCAACTTTTTGGATGCTTGAGGAGAAAAGAAAAACACAATTTTAAATGGAAGCAAAGTGCTGCTAGCAAAAGTCCAACCAACCACTGCAGTACATTGACTGTGTTACCATGGTGAATGCATGCAAACAAGGCCATGATGTTTGAACCAGAAAACTCCCCTAAAAAGCTATAAAACCTCCAAACTCCCTAATTAGAGCTTTAGATGGGAACCTTTTCCAGTAATATCACACTGTTTGTGACCCCTTACTGGCAAAAGGGACCTTGACGGTTATTCAGTAAATTCAGAGGAGAAAATGTAAAATTCAATAGAGTGGGTTGATTTCTATCAGTGTTTTTTTTTTTAGTTCAGATTGAGAATGAAAACTCTGTTAATAAACAAGAACCAAAGCTGGTCAATAATGTGAAAATCTTCTTTTTTTAAAATTCTATATTCAAATACGTGATCCACCTATAAACCAGACACACACATTTCTGAAACCATTGCAGCTCTTTTTATTCCCTACAAACAATTTTCAGGCTGTCTAAAAGTGTTTTGGTATAAAAAATAGCTACAAACAGTAATGAATTTGCCACTGGAAAACACATACACACACAAAAAAGATAAGATTTACGCTGGTATTTACCTCTTTCACTTTGCATGTCTGACTGAATCCCCAAAAAAACCTGCACCTAAACTCTGCTTTAGTTTATATAAATGTGATTAGGCAAGAAAACCATTTTTTCACTCGAGCCTTGTTGTCTGTGGCCAACTGAAACTAATCTTGAGACTGTCTTCTCATAAAAAAAAGAATAAAAAAAACAATGTGATTGGCTGTTTCTGGGAGCAGCTAATCCAAACCGCAGCTATGTTTCATTGTGACAATGGGCGAAGTAATTATGACAGGAGAAACTGAGGAAGTGATGTGTAGTAATTAAACTCCAACACAACTCAGACAAAGGTTAAAGCACATTTTAACCATTCCACACCAAAAAAGACCAAACTATGGAGTGTGAAAATGAAATGCATCTGTCAATAAATGCAGAAAGTATCAAAAACACCAAACTGCCCACCGGTTMATGTGCTTCTCAGAAACCACAAACAGTTCAGATGCTCACAGTTCTGACATACATGTGTTGTTGTTGCTCAAAAGCACTTCAGTTTGTAAGTGGCCTTTGCTCTGCAGCAGATAAAGTGCATTAATGAAACAATGGTGGATCAAGCAAATAAATAATTTTCCGAACATCATAGATGGTCGAAGGGGAAACAGCACAGATGAAAATTACTTTCTGATGRTGCCTGGATATTTATCTCAATGTATAAAAGTCTCCAGACTTAACTGGACAACAATCTACCATTTTTTGCTACACARTGTGACAATTTTTTATTTAGATTTGACTTTATACAAGAGCTGGAGTGAAGTTGGATCTAAAACATAATGCCATACCCAAACAAACACTGACACACTGGAAATTTTGACAAACTGGCCTGAAACATTCAATGTGTGGATAGAAGTCCAGTCACAGCAGACAGGAGTGGGTGTGACGCTGCTCCCGTCAGGCCTGATGATGTGAGGATGAGACAGCACAGATACACTCATGTATACAAAAGCCCTGTATTTTTCACATCCATTGGCCAAATCCAATTTGTTAAGACCCTTCTACGACTCACTTACGAAGCTGCGGTCAATGGAAATCACATTTTCATGATTGGACATCCCATTATCCTGTTTGTCCAGACCCACATCGGGGGATAAAGCCGAGCCCAGACAGATGCCGAACGACAGACCGGAGCTGCGGCTCCAGTGAGTCCGTCGCCTTTCAAAGGGTAAAAACCTGATATATTAGTCATAAGTGTTCTTTAAATTCATTATCATTTTAACACGCCAGCGGCACAAGTGTCAGGGGGAGGGGAGGCCCTCTTAAACGAGGTTAGTGGATCCATTTAAAGCTTCACAGTTGCTGTGCTGTCTGCCGTGTCACAAGCAAGTCTCAAGACATGAAAAACACCTCACATTTGTAATAAGGTTGTCTCATGATGATGCAGGGGACTTTGAGATAAATCAATGAACAGAATCAGCATAATATCTGTCAGTAATGTGACTGGTCTATAAATGATATAAATATGTATATGTAGAAACCAAATATTCAGAAAATCTATGTGATAATAACTCTAAACCAGGGGTTCTCAAGCCATTTGGGTCTGGGGACCCCTTACAATGGCGAAAAATATCCCAGGGACCCCCCCTCATAAACCCCATGCTGTTTTAAAAAGGTAATTTATGGTCATTTCAACCCCTAAATGCTATGGGAATATAATTTTATTAAGTTTATTATGTTTGTTTTATTAGTTCATTGTTCTCCATGTATTTTTAAACATAAAAATCAAATTAACAATTTAGGAAATATTTTTGAGGACCCCTAAGATACCTCTTGCAGACCCCTGGGGGACCAGGGACCCCAGTTTGAGAACCTCTGCTTTAAACTAACCATGTCAGGAACAAAAATATACTATTTGCTTTAGTTCTTGTCCTTTAAAGAGCATGTRATAGAGCTTAATGAAGTAACCTCACTGTAACACTATTTGTGATTTTACAAAGATTTGAATTTATTTTTTTACTTGCAAACAAGTTTTTGTTGACTAAAATTTGTAATTACAAAACCTTTTGCTTTAGTTCAGTCCTTTGAAGTTTTAGTGGGTAGGTCTTGGAAAAATCTACCAGTAGAAAAACTATTTAAAACAGTGTTTTTGTTAATGTAGAGTTACATCTGTACACCATCTAAAGCAACCCAATAAGACAGCTTCAAAATATAGTGATAAATGATACCAGTTAATCTTTTATRATAAATCATTTCTGATTAAACTTCWGMCCATCAGAGCCCAAGACAAAAGACAAAAGTGACTCAGGTGACTCAGTCTTTAAATGTCTGGTCAAGACTTGAAAGAAGCAACAGCCAAACCAACACAACATCAACATTAGGAGATCTACAGCTCCTGTAAGATGTCCCAAAACAAAAAGCAGAACATTTGTTTCTGCAACATTGTTCTTTGTCTAAACTTTAAACACCTTAAAATTATTCTTAAATGACATTTCATTTAAAGGAGCCATATCATGCTTTTAAATCATCTTTTTCACATTTAACTCATTCAGTTTGAGTCTAAATAAAGTGGAACTGCAATGTGTTGGTCTGAATTCCTTCTTATTGTAACTCCACAAGCTCCTCTTTCACCCCTTTTCTAATGCACATCCCAAAACAGCTCGTTTTAACCCCCTGCAGCTTCCAGACAGGTCCATTCTAGTTTGATAGAGGGGGTTACGACTATCTAGCTGCACAGAAATGTTTACAAATTAGTTTAAAGATGTCAACAAAGGAAGACTTGTCCATCCAGCCTAACATGTTGGAGTCAGAGTCTGACCCAGAGCCACAGATATGTAGTTGGTAAGTCCAGACCTTATTTGACAGTTCCATCACAGATATTTTGACATAATAGTTCAGAAAATCTCAGAAAATAGAGAAATCTGGTTGAAAGATATTACCCAAAAAGAATATAAACACATCTTTGCATTACCTGGAGAGATTGAATTCACCTTTTTCCACTCCTACAGACTCCAAGTACACAATATAATTTAAGTTATACCTAAAACAGTGGAATCTTGCATATACTGTATCCCCTAAAGATTTGAGATTAATCTTCTCTCAGGTATAATGTGACAGCCAACACTCAAGTTAAAAGAACTGGTATAAAAGCACAAACAAGAAGCGGCGAGACACACATACATGAAACACGGATGTAGCTCAGCTGTGGCTCATGCAGTCAGAGGTGTCTCTCACCTCTTTCTCATGATACTATAATGCAGCTCCTCCTCCTGCTTGATGTGGGCATGATCCCCACCGGCCCGCTCGCTGCCTTCGCTGTCGTCACTGCTGAAGATTGAGGCCAGTTCCTTCTTGGGCACTCGGTTGGGTGGAAGGGGGATGGTGCGTTTCTCTGCCAGGCGCCCGCGGTTCTGGAAACCACAGAAAAGGAGACACTTTAGCAACACGATTCACCTGTTTTCAGCCAGATTAGTTTCCTATTTCACAAGAGAAACCCTCTTTTTTAAGCTATGAAAGATGTAATCTGTATTCAAATCTGCATGCACAGCTGAAACCTTCAGTGTTTGATTAGGCAATATGCACTGATCAACTGAGCATTCTTGAAAAAAAATTATAATTAAAACACTTTAAAGATTAAAGCCATTAAAATGTAAAATGAGTGATCTAAATAGTTTATTATACATTAATCCACTTTTAAACTGCTTTAAAGTAACAAATAAAACCATTGTAGCATAAATAATTGGATTGATTTTATTTTAATTYTGTAAAATAACATTTAAACTATAAGAGGCTAAATAAGACCTAAAAAAGGGGAAGTTCTGTGAACATCTAACTCTACTTGTRTATGTGAAATATCTGCATTTAGCCGAGACTATTAATGACAAAAAAGTGACTTTTAAAGGAATCAAATTCCATATTTCTGTCATACAATCAATTGTACATCCTGCTGAGCTAACGAGCCACACCTGCATCACTCCGATGATGATAACAGACCATTTACAAACCTGGTCACATGCTGTGAACTGCTCTTCTGATTGGCTAAGGCACTACTGTCATGAATCTTTTATAGCCTGGGCTACAGCTGACTGCTGTGTCAAAGTGTGTGTAATTTATTAATAATTTAATATTTTGTAGCCCAGATGGATTGAGCTTGTGGGCCAGATGTGGACCAGGTGACAATCAAAGCTTTAGATTCTGTTACATAAGGAATTATTCCATCTTTACTTCTTATAATTCTAAATAAAAGTAATAAGGGTTGGTTTGTACACGGTGTGTTCACGGCCGACAAGAGAAAACAGCAGATGAGATGCGAGTGTGGCCTCAGGAGAGTAAAGGGAGTGACCTTTACTGTGACCTGTAGAGGTCACTGCGGATTTCCGTGGCCCTTTCACAGAGTCACGAGCGAAAAGGGAGAAAGGAGAGCAGAGGAATTAGCTTGCTCGGAGGAGTGAGAGACGGTGAAAGTAAAGCAGAATGAGTCAGAAATTGAAGAAGAGCAAATGAACAATAGGGTGAGGAGACAAGCTAACACAGAGAAGGAGGAGAGGATAGCTGTGGGACTGTAGAGAGAGAAAATACAGAAATAAAAGAGAATGTGGAGGGTCAACGCATGAAAGAGAAAAAGCTYCACAGAAGGAAAGTCTGTCCAGTGCAGGAGAGTGGACTTGGATTTGAAACTAGATTCTCTTTCACTCTGAGCCTACATCTCTGCTCTTATTCCCGGACGCCTTCGAGCCCTGCAGCTATCCCTTCCACCACACGCAACCCCACACTCCTCCCCCTTCCCCTCCTTCCCTCGCTCCATCCATCCCAGGAGGTGCAGAAGCTTGAGTGGCAGGCGGGGGCAGGAGGAGGGATATGGGGGCTCCTAGCCAAGAGGCAAACAGGTGCAGCCCCTCTGGAGTATCTCAAATGGCAGACATTAAAACAAGTTTGGGGGGGGGGGCGGGGGGAGAAGGATGAAAACATCCCTCAGGATGAACAGGCCACAGGGTTCTGCACATTTCTCTTTTCCTGTGTTTTGCCAGGAAARAGACTTTAACTCCTCTATACTTTCTTGCTAGAGATTTTTACAACTTGTTCTCCAGGACAGGTTTGTTTAGATTAGTGCTGGTCTCTTCTCACAAGGTCACATAGGAGGACTTTAGTGCAGAATATCAAAAAGGGCGTTCAAGRAAGTAAACAAAAAAAAGATTAATTCATAGCATCTGAGCATGTCCATTCTATACAACATCTCTGGAAAATCACTCATGTAAACTAATTCACCATACACACATCTAAAAGTGGAGATACTCTCAGATATTCACACACCTGTTACTGTTCCTTAGAAGTCCCCTCAAATGCGGGGGGTTTTACTTGGAGTAAGCAGCATTGCAGTGTATACAAAAATAGATTTTCTATGAGCAGTCGTGACTGCGCCTGTGTGTGCGCGTGTAGACAACCACCCACATGGCCGTGACATACCCAGGCTGACAGCCCCCATCCCTTCCTTCCTCCCTCCCCTCTCCTCCCGGAAAGCCCCAATCCTTTCTTTAGTGGCACTGACGCAGAACTGGGGGTGAGCTCCCACTGCTTCCGGCAACACTTCCGTAGCACGGAGGAGGGCTCTCCGAAACAAAACATGAAGCAGAACACACCCCGGGCAGCCCACGTAGGAGTGCTCAAAGGAAGAGCGCCGAGCTCTCGAGTTCGAACGTGCACGCACAAACACACGTGTGTGTGTGTGCACGCTGAGCTGAGGCAACCTTACTGTGTGTGGTCAACCTCCTTTCAGCCATGGAAAAAAGTCGCTCATAAAAGTCCCACTAAAAGCACCTCTATGAATATCACCTCCCACGTTTTCTGTCTGACAGTCAAGCAGCCAAGAAATATATCTGGGCTTCATATTTTTAAGAAAAAAATGGACATATACAGACAACTATATACTGAATAATCAAACACACCGATCAAACTGCCTTGACTGAAGTAAAATGATTGTATCAGGGAATCTTTTAAACATTCAAAAACACTTCCAATAAACCAAATCAAATATGCATTGAGACAATAAGCCAGAACGATGACCCCAATCTGACGTAAAACCTCAATGGAAAGCTATTACCCATGGGTGATTTTTATTGGCATCACAGGTCAGACACAAAAAGACCGGATCTATATTCAACAGCTGAACAGAGTTCTTCCCATTCCTCATGAGAACACCAAACAAACTATGACTAAAACRACGCAAACCATATGGGTGTTGAGTAGTTACATTCTCTCTGCATCGGTGCTTATACAATAACAAAGACAGCCAAAGCTGATTTGGTTGAACTTTGCAGCTCAGTTATTTAAAGCAATTAAATGTCAGGTTGTGTTTCAAGGTGCAGTTAATTCAGGAAAAAAAAACACCTTTTGAAGTATTGTTACAGGAAAATAATCTAATACTTAAAGTCCAAAATGAACCAGACAAAGTTGTTTTGACTTTTTTAGACAAAGTACACAAGCTAACAATGCCCTCTAAAAGGGACTCACCGATTGAAGTTTTCTGGCCGATCACCCATCTTTAAAAAGTCTGACCTGCCAATTCTGATTTTGGCCAATTTTTTTTTATAACAAACACTGTCATGTGTTATAAGAACACAATACACTTTCAATGTTATAATCTTTTTTTAATTGAAAACACTGAGCAATATCCTTGAAACAATACAAACTTGGTCGACAGCTCTCTCTAACAGCAGAGCCAAAAGGAACAGTGGCTAATTTTCTGACCTTTGCAGAAATGGATAAGATTGGTGGATAAGATCAGCTTCTCATTAGTATCCAGCAATCTCCCAATGTTAAGGAAATTGGGGCCAATAAATCGGTGCACCTTACCGAGAACCCACTGTTGCGCCCTTTAGCTTCCAAGTGAGGTGGCAGCAGAGCCTTAACAGTCAACATATGATAAGATCTGGGATGTGATGATGCAATGCCTCCAGTCACCCTTTGGGTCATAACGACCCATGAGATGTTGTGGGTTATTTTGACCCAAAGACAACWAGTGAGTTAAGGCCTGTGTGACCACCCTGCCGCCAGATTACATTTTCAGTGTGAAATGTTAAAAATAAAGTCATAAATTTAAAATCTCTGCAACTCATGTGGGTGATGTTGTGAACATGTCAGTTTCTGGTCGCTTTAAATGAAACATGGTGGTACCATAGCCAACAATCAGCTCAGAAGTAGAGTCGAAGTTAGCCAGGAGAGTGCAGACATTTGTTTCCGAGCAGAAATTGGAAGCGTTCTCTCTAAATTTACCTCAGACTTTTTAAAATGAGCTCTTGGTGGAAAAGTGAGCTAATGAGTGTGTGTTATTTTCTTCTTTCTCCTTGCGTTATTTCCTGAAAGGTGCAGCACCCTGCCGCTGGCTCCAACTAGCATGAGCAAGCACATACACCCACACGCACACAGCAGTAGCTGCCCGTGACATTCCTGCAGCTGCGGCGCTCTCGCTGCCTCACACGCGCCCCCCCGGCAATCTCCCTGGGGGACGAATGCCTAATGAGTCACGCGCCTGTCTGCCGTTACCTCGCAGCCTGTGTGTGTGCGTGTGTGTGTGTGTGTGTGTGTGTGTGTGTGTGTGTGTGTGTGTGTG